TATATATATATATTATTTGATCATTGATTAGTCAAACTAGTAATACTATTTACGTCATTGGAGCTTCTTATTGGAGTTGGTTTGGTTTCCGTACGAGTGCTAAAATTTTGTCGGAATTTATTGTCGATGCAAACATAATTTTGTAGAGTTCTCCTTGGACTTGTATTTTGTCTATCCTAAAATACAACAAGTAATTTTGACCGATCAAAGCCTTAAATGTGACAGTGCTACATTTGACGTGTGTCCATCTACTCACCTCAATCCTGGCTAATCAAAGCGTCACACAAGGTACTGTATAGTGAAATAAAAAACTAAATTGCATAATATTCAAAAATTAAATTCATATCACATGTACGCCATTCAAAAGGATATTCATTAAAAAATTGCAAATAATTAAAATGAAACCTATGTGACAGGGAAATGCAAATATAACTTGTGTTTTCTCTCGTTGACCACTCAAAAATAGAAATTTGTTTAGAAATGATCCTAGAGCGATAAATAGTTACTATAATTATAACGATCAATATCCTTCTATTATAAATAAGAATTAATATTGAGTTAAAAATTTATTAATTTGAATTTGTTTGAAAGTCTCTAAATAAATTCTTTAGGATAATATATTACATATCTCAAAAGTTTGGATAAATTCATATTTTCAACATTCATGAACAATAAAATTTGCATATTTCATCTCACGCAGTTTTTTTTCTTTCTAAAATTAATCCCTTTTCACATGTATGTCATATGAAAAATACTAAACTATTTTATATTTTTTTACATGATCAACACTCGAGACAAAAAAAAAATAATTTTCGTTTTATATCTTTTATCTCACAATCCCACATGATCTCTCGGGTCTAATACTAAAAAAATGATATTGTATTTTGGGGATTTGCATGGGAGGTTGCAGATAAACCATCTAGCATAATATATTGTACACCTTGAGCACTTCATATTTTCAATATTTATGGACAACAAAATTTACATATTCCATCTCACCTAGTTTTTTTCTCTCTAAAATCAATACCTTTCTGCATGTACATCATATGAAAGATGTTAAACTATTTTATATTTTTTACATGATCAACATTCAAGACATTCTTTTTAATTCCGTTTCATATCTTTCATCTCACAATCCCACATGTCAAGTGTATTTGGGGCATGATTTAAATTAGATTTAAAAAAAAAAGGATAAATGATTTGTAGGAAATTGAAAAAAAGTTAAATTGTTTGAAGAGAGTGATTTGTGAGGATTTAAGGATAAATAGAAATGAATCTCATAGAGAAAAAAATTACTTTTTAAAGAGAGGAAATTTGCTAAAAAAAATTAAGAAAATGACAAATTTCTATACATTGATTTTTATTTTTTGTCTCATTCTACTAAATAATAATTAAATATAATAAAAATATAATTTTAAATTACTTATTTATCACTATTTCTTAATTAATTCAACTTTATCAAATAATTACAAATTTCACTTTATTTCTTATCAAATTAATTCTCATTTATTTTCTTTCATTCTTTTAAATTCTTTCCTCTCTCCCAAACAGAGCAATGATGCATGTCAATTCTACATCTTCTTCCAGCAATGCCATGTATTTAATTATGATCATATTGAATTAAATTTACAATTAATCAAATAAAATACTTTTAAAATTAATAAAATTACAATGAATTTATATCTTTAATTATAAGTAATTAATACTTTCTATAATTGCAATTAATTAATTAATTAGATTTCCTATGGGATCCCTTCGTTTTTTAATTAATTAAAAAATTAATTATTTACTTAAATTAAGAAGAACTTTAAAGAAAAAATTAAATTACATCTTTAAAATTAATATTTTTGTACATAATATTTGCTTTCATTACATAATTAATAGTTAATATTTATTATATTTTCAAGAATTATTTATTAGTTAAATTTAATGCAATCATTCAGGAAAAAATCAACACAATATTAAATATAGCATAATATCAAAATTAAAATTACAAATAATTTTAATAATACAATTTATTAATCGATCATAGATAAGTCAAACTAATAATAACGTCTTCGTCATTGGAGATTGTAGATGACTTTAGTTCAAGTAAGAGTGCCAAAAATTTGCCAAAGTTCATGTTGATGCAAACATAATACTAATAGAGTTGAACGTGTGATGTTTTAAATTGACAGTGGTATGCATGTTACTTTTAAAATATACTGAAGACTTTAATTAACATTTGAAATTTAAATGACACTAAATTTGCAAAATGTTTATTTTTTATTGTAAAATTATTTAACACTTCAATAGGATAAAAATATATTAATGAATTTTATATTTATTGAAAATGATATTGCAATACATGATAAAAAAAAAATCTAGTAATAATGTACTATTAAAAACAAATATTTCTCATGTCTCAAATTATAAAATTTTATAATATTAAATTACACGATTTGAAGAATTAACTTAAATCGAAGTTTATTGATAGATTGTGTATTTTGTTTTTACTGAATATAGATTATATATTAGTCTTTTAACTTTGGTATAATATAAAAAGTTGAACTACTCAATCCACATTTTGTTATCAATTATAATCTAAATTAATATATTCAATCAAAATATAAATATTTTGGTCAAAGAGCCCAGCTATTTATAAATATTTTTAATCCTTATATTAATTATTTTAGTTTTTTGGTTATATATTAAAGTTTATAATTTAATATATCATTCTAAATATAAATAGGAATAAATTAATCGATGAAAGGCACAATATTAAGATTAAACTATTTTTTTTTCCAACTTTCCTTTTTATTTGTTAATTTTTCAAAACCACTTTAATATTTCTATTACTACAATTATACAAACCTAAGAATAAATAAAAGAAAAAGGTAACAATAAATAAACAAATAAAATAAAATATATGGTGCAAAGTAAATAAAAGAAAATGACGAAATGGCAAAACTTTTCATATAATTATGTACTTTTGATAATTTACTTCAAATATTCAAAAGAATGCATGGTAAGATGCTGGTGCATCGTGTCAATTTTAAAGAAAGGTATATATACAAAGAACATTTTTGTGTTCATTCCATGATATGCACATTTGGAACAAGGTAAAAAAAGAGGACCAAAATATAGTTAGCAAAAGGTGGGAAATAGAAAAGAGCGAGGCTTAAGGTTACGGTAAAGACAAAGATACCGAAATTGAGCATGCATGGAGTAAACAATTAAAAAGTGGTCAATTCCTTGCACTTGACGAACCAACTATTTCGGCTTCTGATTCGTTACCTCCATCTCTAACGCTACCATTTGTCCTTCCTTCACCATAACAAAAACTTTGCACTAAACCATGCCACAAGCTATTCTAACCTTACCTAGTAAGTCACACTTGCTCACTCAAAAAGTTGTCACCATTTTGAGACACCAAATGTAGTTTGTTCCCCTTTGCTAAAAAACACCACATAATTAACCGACTCTGTCATGCTCAATTCAACCAATCGCTTCTTATTTCTTCCTTTTTTCTTCTTCTTCCTCATTTCCGTTCCCTCCTTTCAACAAAAATGCTTAGCTTCAGCCTCCTCCCTTCATGAAAGGAGCTTCCATAGACCTGATCCTTTGCGTCATTTCAAAAACTACAATGGAGATTTCGATGTTCGAAACAAGCATTATGTGGCTGTGAGTAGTTTTCACTTTAACCATTTTTTATCTTCATTGTTTCTTAAATTTTGTGCTATATCATTCCACTCTAAACTTAAAAAACAAATTATAAGACTTGGTTACGTTACACTTCTTTAGATGTTTTATCTAATCAAATTGCCTCATGTAATAAAGGTTTACATGAAAAGATAAAGCAGATTACTGAAATGAAACTTCAATTTTGATCAGAAAACAATAAAGAACTCAAGAAATTGTATGAGTTTTCTCTGAAAACAAATAAAGTGTATGATCATGTTATATATGTTTACTATGCTTGCTTTCTGATCCTTTTCAGTCTGCGGCATTTACAGGAGTCCACGGATACGCATTTGCCTGCGTCTGGTTGCTATGTGGGTTGGCTTTGGCCATTTTCATGATAGTGAAGTATCTATGCGGTGGCTCAGTTTCATTACCTTGTTTGAACCATTACTATCTCCACATTTTCTTCCTACTCCTCTTCTTCACCTCTCTCGCCATGTAAGTCCCCAATTTCCTACCTACCATTCAATCAAAGCTATAAGCTAAAGTCATAAAACTGTAATTGAGACAATTGGGTGGCATGACAGAGTTGCTTCCAGTTTTGTTCTGGCCACGAGTCAGAAGACCCTGCGGAGGACAGAAAAACTTAAAGAATCTGTGGTTGGTATAGGAGAAGATGCTCTTGGGACCATAAGCAAAGTCATAAAAACAACCAACCAAATGCAGTTCCTTTTGCTTCCGTATAATCCACAGATATGTGCGAGTTTGAATTCCACCACTCAAGACCTCAGAAGCAACTCCCGTGTGATACGCCGTTTTATTGACAAAAGTGGACAATCAATCGATAAGGCCACTCATACTTCGTATGTTTTTCCTTTAAACAACTTCAATTTTATGTTGACAATGCTTATTTCCCACTTAGATTTTATTGATTTCGGTTCTTGATGTGACATAGGTACATAGCACATTTTGTTGTTTTAACCATCAACTTAGTGACACTGGTTGCAGCATTAGGTAATTTCCTTTAACCAATATTGCTTATAAACTTATTATATTAGATCAGGCTAATTTCTTTAATCTAATGGTTGATATTAATTAATGGTTTGCTCCTTTTGTTGTTTTGGCTCAGTTCTAATGCTATTGCATTGGCGTCCTGGATTCATAATGTAAGTTATTTCTTAACTAAAACTATAGTAGTTGTATTCTGAATTACCCTATGCGTATGAGGTATGACTTTTACATTTTGCCTTTGTTTCAGCATAATTTTTTGCTTTTGGATCTTAACAAGCCTGTGCTGGTTCTTGACTGGATTTGATTTCTTCCTTAACACGTGAGTAAACAAACTGTTCATGCTTGAGTTATAAATGTGAATGAAGTCATGAAATAATGCTCTTCTCAAGCTTCATGACGTTGTGTATACTTTGTATTCAGCTTTGCAGATGATGCATGCTCGGCTTTTGAAGACTTCGAAGAAAACCCACAAAACAGTAGCCTAGGTTCGATGTTGCCATGCATTGATGAATCTTTCTCTGGAAAATTGATAGCTAATATTGGCTATACCATCCATAGGTTCATAGTTGAGGTAGAAAATTTGATTTTGGTTCCTTCATTCAGAATCAAAAGGAAGTGAACACACACGGTTTCTTCCAATTCTACTATATCATGTTCTGATGTAATGTTTTTTGTGTGTCTCAGTTGAATACTAATATGTCGGTGATTTATCGGCTCCTAGGAATAAGTGAAGAAAATGAAGAACTAATGGGAGCCATAAAAATTTGTGATCCTTTCTCTGGTGCCTTAAACTTTAGTTATGTTCCACAGAGCTGTCCTCAAGATGCCATTCGGATTGGTGATTTGTCTAAAGTAATTAACTCTTCACTAAACTAAATCTAGTGTGTGTTTATTCGTTTAGCAAAATCATACTCATAACTCTTAAACGCATCTGGGTTAAGATTCTTGCACAGATCACATGTCACAAAGAGGTGAGCACAAGAGAAGAATGCAGAAAAGAGGGGAGATTTCTTCCAGAAGCTTCATATAACATGGCTCATGCCTATAGTAGATCCATCCAGGATTTGTTGGATATATATCCTGACTTGCAAACACTGGCAAAATGCACAGTTGTGAAGAACAAAGTTGCTGAAATTGTGTCACATCAATGCAGGCCAATAAGAATGTCAACTAAATTGTTATGGTCATCTATGCTGTCTCTCTCCATTATTATGGTAGTCTTGGTATTCACCTGGCTGGTTGAGGCTCTTCAATGCTCGGGAAAACCCCCCCCTTCAATATGTTCCAGGAGCCCCAGATCAATATAGGAAATTTTCTTTATTTTCAAACTTAAAAGGGTAGAAAATCAAAGATAAAAGTAGTTTTCTTTCTTTTTCTTTTTTTCTTTTTAGGTGGGAGGGGGGTGTATAAATTAATTTGCCTTTTTTGAGTTATTTTGTTCCAATTTCAGTTTAATAACAGGGAAAATAGCACTCCAAGCAAGTCGTAAGACAAAAGTTGGAGAATGATGTAAAGAAATAAAATAATTTGTTGAAGTGTGAATATTGCTTCTTTGAGGACAAAAATAAGAGTGATATATACTGTAGCTTAACTATTGTATGAGTTGCACTTGCCTATTGGTTTTGGTTTTAAAGTTTTGACATTAGTCTTGCTTCACTCATAAGTTAACAATATAAATTATTTCTTGTATTATTGTTTAAAAGTTTGGCCACAACTACAGGTCAATAGAAATTACAATGACATTAGACTTGCGGGTTTTGGTTTTATCACATCCCAGACGACAAAAAAAAAATGGAGAATAATGTAAAGAAATGAAAATAATTTGTAAGTGTGAATGTTGCTTGTTTGAGGACAAAAATGTGGGTGATATACTGCAGCTTAATCATTGTATGAGTTGCAATTGACAATTGGTTTTGGTTAAGTTTAGACAGTAATATTAGTTGGATATGGATCACTAGTGACAGTAGTATATATAAATAACAAACGATTTTCATTTTAAACATTGGTGTCATAAAGTTGGGTTAAGCTTAATTATTTATTTTTTAAGTTGATAAGAGCTTATTTTAAATGGTATGAACATATTTCTCTTAATACACAATCTTTTATTAATTAGAATAATTCAATCAATTATATACAAATAGTATTGTTAAAAGAATATGTTCCTAATATTGAATTTTTATTGGATCACTCATAAATATTTAATATTATAAATTTTACGTTTAAAATATTAATCTTTCAAATTTTGCATTCGAAATATTTAGTTCTTAATAAAAAAATTAAATAAATAACAATTCTTAATTTACAAACAAATTTTATATGATTGAAATGAAACACAAATCTACTTTCTATCAAAAGTTAATGATACATATTGTTTCTTATATTACTATTTAAAAGTTTGGCCTCAACTACATGTCAACAAAAATTACAATGACATTAGTCTTGTAGGTTTTGGTTTTATCACATCCCAAATATAAAAATATTACAACTTCTAATTATTAGTTCTCTTTATCTTTTATAAAAGTATTGAATGAAAAATTAGATACATATTATATAATTATATATATATTACATGTCTATAGAAATAACAATGAGATTAGTCTTACCGGTTTTTGGTTTTATACTTTTATCACATCCCAGTTAAAGAATACTGTAATATCTTATTATTAATTCTCTTTATATTTTATAAAGTATTGAATGAAAAATTAGATATATAAAGTTTAAAAAAGAAAAAAAAAACATTTATTTTATTTAGTATAAAGGAAGATTTGTAAGAAGATATACAGGAAAGTTTATCATTATTTTTTTATTTAATTATAAAATGTATTGTAAAACTAACAAACAAATGGTAGAATTGGATCATTAAATTGTATAAAGGATGTTGTTGCAGACATCGATTCTCTCCCCTCATTTTATAATTTGTTAATTTCTTTAGATTTTTGACATTGTTGCTGAAAAAAAATTGTCATCAGAAAGTATTTCTTTTCAAAGGTTAATTTGTGTCTACCAATTACAAATTTTCAGTTATAACACAATACGATAATTAAACAAGCACGCGACTTAGCCACGTGCATAACCCTATCAACGAATTCATTAAAACATAACTCTACATATCTAATGAATATGTTAGTTTAAACTTTTTTTCCTTTTAAAAACACTACTTTTTAATAAAATAAGCATTTTTTTATTTTATAATGCGATTCTATTTTAAAAAAAAAAAAACAATTTTTTACTTTTTTAAGAAGTAACTTTACCTATTTTTTAAATAATTATTTTTTAAAAATATTTATTTTTAAATTTAAATAAACAGATCCAATTAATATGTTAAAATTATCGGTGTAAAAAGTCAAATTGAAAAAATAAACTTATAACATGCAAGTATATTCTAAAAGGCAATGACATAACGTTGTTGCCTTCACGAGAACATAGAAACCCACCACGTATCTATCTTCAAGAAATAGAACTATAATGAGTTATTATATTTTATAAACTTTTTTCTATTTTATTCTTACATCATTTGATTTTTTAGAGATATTTATTTTATTTAAGTTGGTTTTTTTTTTTGGTTTAGTAAGGATAACTCCTTTTAATCGAAGAGTGAGCTTTTATAAAGGTAAAATGAAAATTTTAATTATTATTTCGTACTCAAACAGGAATAGAACCCACTCCTTAATAGAGGTAGAAATAGGATATGTCAGATTAAATTTTGAATAAGAAAGACTTGTTTTACAAAATTAAAGTTTAAATTTGACTTATTATCTATTATAGACTTTTTTTTTATAAGTTTAACTTGACCTGTTTAAAGACTGATATGACCTATTAGTCTATTTTATATTAATAATATTAAATAGATCAATAAGTTTGATTTTTTAAAAATTAACAAATTTATTTGTAAATACGTCATTGCGAATTATTTTTTAGTTTATATAATATAATTTATTTAATATTATTAAAATTTAAATTTTGAAATATATACAATGTCACAAAGAGAAAAAAAAGTAAATCATTTTCTGTTATAGATAATTTATGTGCAATCATTTATATTGGTGTACACTCATATACAGTCCGTAACCCTAATATATAATGAAAAAGGATAATTGTATAAAAAAATATTTTAAATATTTCCTATATCTAATTTTGTATATTTTAAATAATCAACTCATATTTTAACAAACTAAAATAGTTATAATAATAATTTATAAACTAAATAAATACTTATTGTACATGAGGTAGTCTCAAGACTACTAAATACATATACAATGTCACAAAGAAAGAATAAATGATATTATTTTCTATTAAAGAGACAACTCATGCATATCCAAGTATGTCAACAACCATCTTTGATAAAACCTTATATTTTATTTTGTTGTTCCTCCAATACTCCAAGACATTAAATAAGTTATTATTACTCGTTGGAATATAAACTCCTTCATCAAGATAAGTTTGTAATTTTGATTTCATTGGAGGAATAACTTCCTTTTCACGTACCATGCTCATAATATGGTCAAATCCAATCATGATTGAAGAATTAACTTTAATAGAAGATGTTGAATTATTGCCACCATGACCTATTTCTGCATAAGATGATTCTCCCAAACTCAAAGTCATATACTCATCATATAATTGTTTCAATGACTTCCGAACCTTCACTACATTCTCTTTAGCAACATCCTCGGGTTTATATATTAAGGGAAAACATATATCAACAATATGAAATTTGACCCTAGGGCCTAAAACACTTGCAATAGCCATAAGTAAATTACATTGTCCTCAATACTTGTCAAACTTCATTTTCATTGGAGTTGTCATCTCTCTCATAAAAAGATCTTCATCTTTATAGCTGCACTATCAATTACCATTTTCAGTCTCCACACTTCTACAACATATAAATTTATAGTAGGATACTCACTTCCTGAAATTATATGTGTAGTTAGATTAAACACTTCCAAAAGCTTATAAACTTTCTCAACTTTGTTACAATCTTCAAGTGAAGGTGCATAATCATAATGTGGCTCCCTCTCCTTGTAAGCTACAAAAACAATCTTAAACTTGACAACATTTGATACGTGGAATTCCATCTTACAAGGAAATGAGTAATTAATTTTCTATCTTTCAAATGCTTTTGTTTAACAACATCACAAAAAGCCTTCAACCTATAATCATTGTGATTTATATACTTGACAATACTTTCACGTACATTGAAAACAATAGCCTTAATCTTACCCAATTCATCTTGCACTAGTAGATTCAATATGTGAGCACAATATCTAACATAAAATAATGAATCATCCAAAATTAACTTGGTACTTAATGATAAGTTCTCCTTTAGAGTTCTCAAGCACGAATCATTATAAGATGCATTGTTAATGGATATATATTGAAAAAACTTTATTTTCAATACCCTAAGCCTTTAAATATTTTAAAATTGCATCAGCCACATCAATTCCATATCTTGGAGTAGGAACTTTTACAAAACTCAACTTTTTTTTGAAGTTTCCATGTCATGTGAATGAAATGACTGGTGATAATCATATATTCAGCTACCTGGTGGCTTGATTTTCACATATCTGTTGTTAAACTAATCTTGCTCACATTTTCAACTAAGTCTTCAATTTAAACAATCATGTCTTTCTGTTTTATGAATAACCTTTTGAAACTCTAGATTTGCATATTCAAAGCCCTACATCCAGACCTCATCCTTAACAATGCTAAAAGGATGCTCATGAACTATAATAGCAATGACAAATATTTCTCTTATCTTCTCATTATTATGTCCAACACCAAAGCTCATAAATGGGTTAACATGATTAGAAGAATGAAATGGAATGGTAGATTGCTTCTTTTATACAGTAATGTGTATCATTATTTGCAAGTAACTCCCAGTATGTCGTTTTAGATGGTTAATGCTAACCCTATCCTGTTAATTGCAAATCTACCTTTGCAGTATTTGCAAACAATTATTTTTACGCCTTTACTAATTTCAACTTCATCAAAATCATTCCAAACAATTGATTTTTTTTGCCTTTTCCTCTTAATCACAACAATATCACTTTCTCGATCATTTTCATGTGCATTGTTTTTCACCTGACTTGAATTTGTTGGTATTGGTTCATGTGCATTTAGCAGTAATTGGAATGATAAATGCAACCCCTTTGTTGTTTTCAAATAGTGAAGTCATCCCTTGACACTAAAAAATAATATAATCATGACTATGAACATGAATTCAAGTCTGTAATATAAAAAAGAAACATTGAATCTTTTTCAATCTCAATCCAAAATTGTGAAACTAATAAGAAAATTATATCAATGAGAATCATCTAATTACAAAAAATATAGAAAACATACAAAAAGAAAAAGATAGACAAAGTTACCTGTGAGAGGAAGAATACGAAGTTGTAGACTTGTAGTTGATTATTTTTGTATGAGTTGAGTGATGACTATCAAATATAAAGGTCAAAGATGGAAGATAATGTAGATGAAGGATTGGAGGTGAATTGCAAAGCCACAAAATGAATGAAGGATTGAAGGTTAAAGTTGAAGTCACAATTCAAAATAAAAGATAAAGACACTTAATCAACCAATGACCATGAAGATGAAGGAAGAGAGTAGATGAAGATGTGGCTAAGGTTTCTATTTACGGTTTTTTGATTTTCTATGAATAAGATACATAAAGTGTTTAAGTGAAGTAATAAAAAAATATTGATAATTTATTTTTTGCTTTATAAAATTATTTATTTATTTATATAATTATATTGATAATAATATATGAATATTAATTTTTTAGTATATTATATAGATAAATAGGCTAATTTATCAAATCTAACAGACTTTTTACTAAACCTAAGTCTGACCTTAAATAAATAGACTTTTTTAAAGGCCTAAATATGACATTTTTATTAAATAAGTCAGGTTAGATTAGACTTTAAAGAGATTAGGTCATAGACCCCTATTTAAGGTCTGACCTATTCTCATCCTTACTCCTTTGTTAAAGAGTACACATGTCAAACAACCTTACCTAATGATTATTGATTTAGTTTGAAATCTTTATTATTTATAATATATATATAATATATATATATATATATATATATATATA